TCTGGTTATTTTATGGATGCATAAGAATCTGTACTTTCTATTCAAAACATCCACATTCAGTTTTTCAAGTGCAATATATATAACAGCTTCTATCTTAAGAGGAAAAGGGATTTTCAGAAGTGTTTTCAGGAAGAATAAATCACATATATTATCAGTGTGTATTTAGATTAGCTTTGAATTACATATAGTCCAAATGTATATAATGCAACTCTCACTATTATGTTTGGATCCTTCAAATTGAACAGCCCCATTTCAAAGTAAGATCAGTTGATGATAGCAGGTTTCTATCAGTTACCATTTTTGTATTTCAAAACAAGTACTTCTTTAGCATCTTATCAAATCTTACCTAACTATATAAAACTACACTGTGTTTATACAAACTACTGTATGTGGGCACTGAACAGGCATTCTGTCTCTGACCTACCCATAGGAATGAAATAAACTGAACAAAATTCAAATATGATTTGTGTTGATAGTGTTTACAACATTTTGTTTCTTGTTATCCTTTTTCACTCCATTCATGAGTTTATAGCTGTCTATTCTATCCACATTCAACCATTTCTAGATCAAGAATACTAGTATATATTTTTGTTTCCTTTTCTACACCTTTTCTACTAGATGATTCCTGAGATCATGGTAGAACTGTACACAGTATTCAAAACATGGAAACATCACTTTCACAGTGTTGAATTAATATTTTGGGTACAATTTCTAGTTCTATTAAGATAATTTACAACACTCTACCTTTATAACACTATGCATTGAGCTGGTGTGAGCCAAAGGCCAACTCCAGATAACAGAGGGGGCAACAGGTGTTTAATATTTCATCACATTTTTCCATAATTAAATTATATATTTCTTACATGCACTGAGATTCTTCTCCTTTAAGACTTCTCAAGAATTGTCTGGCTTGCTTAATTTGGCATCATAGACAAACTTTGTCACTTTTAGCATATTTTTTTCTCAGTGATATGTGAATAAGTTAAACAGAGCAGAGCTTGGGAAACCACTTTTCATTTTGAAACTGCTAATGAATTCCTAATCTCTGTTCCCTATCTTTAACGTTACAAATCCATAAGATGACCTTCCCTCTTGTTCTATGACAAATTTATCAAAAGCTTTTTGAAGACAAAAGAAAACTTTAACAACATTATTATCCTTAATTGTTTTCTTGTTTGTTTGCTTGTTTGTTTGTTTGTTTTCTTAAATATTTAATGGAAGCCTAAGATGTGACACCCCTTTCCAAAAGCAATGCTGACTTTTTATTGGCATATATTTATTCATGTCTTTTAATCCTTTTCTAATTATACCTTCCACAGTTTGTGTACCAAAGATTTGTTAGTCCATAGTTCACTACATCATCTTGTAATGCCATTTAAGCTCATTTGCCATCTTCCATTTCTCTCATGTGGTCCATTATTCCTGTGAGAGAAGAAGTAAAATCACACTTCATCACATTCCAGCTTTAACCTAACAACATAAAATGACTTTGGGATTCAAAAGAAATATTCAGTTCACATTGGTCTCTAGGCAGAAACATGGGAAAAATACTAATCTGTTCAGCAAAGCAGTCACACATTGTTCTTTTGAGGCCATCATCTACGCATATTGTCAGAAATACACAACCTTATCTAGCATAACCATTTTATAAACCTTTGTACTATTGTGGTTCAAGACTGGACAAAGCATGCTTAATATTCAAATAAAGACACTTTTTATCCATTTCAGGTGGGCTTTTAGTGTCTATGTTTTACATCAACAGATTAAAAACTATTTCCAAAGTATCAGTATTTTTGGTTTATGAACTTCATGTAACTTTTTATTTCATAAAAATAATGGTCCAGATTCCCTAGTGATAGTATTTCTTACGCTAATTTAGAGCTATAATGCATTACATGAGGCTGTTCACACAGGATAATTTGAAGCATCAAATGTAAATGCACACAGCAGACTAGTGCAGACTGGTATTCTCATGTTAGATGAACAATCTCAGGTAAAATGCAGAAGCCAAGAATTTCCATTTCCTAAATTTCAAGTGTGCCTTGAACAAGTCCTTTCTTCCATTACCACAAAAACTATTGGCTTTGTTCTTCTATATAACTATCTTTTCAGTTTATGGTCTTCATTTTGTTATTTCTAATAAATCAAAGAAGAAACTGACTCATCATGGAACATTGTGTGAAAATAGGATGAAGAAAGAGAGATAAATCCAGGGCCTGTGGATGGAGAAAAGAAAATTGATTTATTTGTGGAAAGGTTTCTGTGGACTAAGCCTGGAAGTGAGAATGTGTTGTGAAATGTGGAAGGCATTAAATCATGGCTAAACCTAAACTAAAACATCCAGTAGAGTGAATAGTTTTGAGGGAATCACAGAAATTATAGGTGAAATTACAGTGCTAAAAACTAAAAGGGGAATTAATGTGTGGAGGCCAAATGTATGGTAACTGCACTATGAAGTTCCAAGTATAGAATAGGAATGATAAAAATTTTCAATAAGTTAAGACTTGTCAAACTGTTTTAACTATTTCTTATGTTTTACAGTTGAGTTGCATAGCTTGAAAAAATGCTGACATCCTACAAATATCTACTGAATCCAAGGAAGACGTGTTGTGCCAAAGGTCACTTACAAAACTTGCAAGGTCCATATTTGGGGAAAAATGCGTTCTGAAATCTTCATGTCCAGAACAGCTATCTAGATAGCTAGATAGAACAGATTTCAAGGCTTCACTTTTATCTCTTTTGCATTGAAACTAGGAAAATACTCCTCCTTTTTCTTTCTTTTCCTTTTCTTGTCAGTGGAAACTCATCTGTAAAGACATGAGACAGTGGCTTTCATCAGCCATGTAGAGTGCTATGTTTAGTGTTCAGTGTCATCAAATCCCTTTTTCTTTTACACACATCACCCTAACATATCCAGTTTTCCCTCTGGCATGCAATCCTGTCTTGTATAAATTTACAAGCTGTGAAGGGAAACTTTCACTGAACTTACCAATATCCTATTCAAAGCTTTCACTAAAATAAGATATTCTAGGTTAAACTCAGTAAAGCTTTAAGTTGCATGTACAGTGCAAACTAAAAGCCAGTGGCCATGTACTATTAAATTCAGAATGGTTACATGTAAATGACATTTTCTTCGTATATAACTGTCTGATTTCTCTGAAAAAAAAACCGTTTTCTTCAGAAGAAATATGTTTTCTGTTTAAAAATTCTATATTGCAAAATGATAGATGTGAACAATTTATATGATTTGATGTCATTGCTTCTCATTTCAGTTTTTGTTGTCGGATTTAAATGTAATCTTAAACACAAAATACTTACATAAATATATTATAAATATATTTTTGTTTTCTTTTTAAAAAGTTTTTATTTGTGTAAAAAAAATGTATAATTAAGACTTTAGGTAGCATAAGATTCAACTGTCAGGTCCTGTTTAAATGGATTTTTTTAAATCTCCCCACTGTTGTAACCAGGAACACTAGAGGATTTTGTTATCTTTGTTTCAGTGAAATATTTTATGGGACTGCTTATTGATGGGAAAGACTTCTGAGAAAAAAAATCTGCCTTTTGTTTTGAAACCTTTTTCTCTAAATGCATGCTTTTCACCGAATTTAAAAAACAGTTTAGTCTCAACAACCTGTGAAACTTTACAAATACTCCATTGGAGGTCCTATGATTTCTTTCAATGTACAATAATGATAGAGTTAATTTTGTGAGTAACTATTGACATAACATGATCTAAACTTAAGAAGACATATATGAGAAAGCTTAAACATTAGTATTTTTACTGAAATATTAGAAAACTTCCATACATAAAGACACTAAGAGGTGTAATGTTTTAAGACTGGAACAATAAATTTAAGCTAGAAAGGCTATAAATAATTCATAAGTGTCTGCCATGTCAAATGATGAGTAACTCTTTTGAAATACTGATATCTAAATTAAGTTAAAAAGTCTCTGCTGAAATTGTAACAGAATATTGTCAGCATATTCCCCCTATTTAATATTAATTTACATATTTTTCATGTTCTGTATTGCACAGGTTTAATTATAATGAATGCCAAAAAATGCTCAATAACATAAACTGTTGTTTATCTACAACAAATTGTTTTTTTAACCTTGATATCAATATCTATTATTCATTAATTAAAAAATGAAACTCAAAAGCATGAAGAAAAGGAGAGGGAAATGCGGTGAGAAAATTTATATGGAAGAAATTTTATTCTATTTAGTTTCTGTCATATTTGTCGGTCTCAGAAAGCACTATAGAATACTGTAAAAGTAACAGACCACTTGCAACGTAATGTCTTTAAAATCCTGGAAGAAAATTTTGAATATTTTGAACAGCTGTGGAAGAAAAATAAACTTCTGACAGCTAAAAAAATTCAAATTTACAAAGCATTCTTTCATAGCTGATACAGGAATAAAGACTATTAAACATGTAATTTACTTCCCAGACAACAGAAAAACTGTTGTAAGAACCATTATAATCAGAACACTTATTTTTTGGAAAAAAATAACTCTTTTTGCCACTGCTCCTTTAAAATTCAGAAATAAGAGGATATGAGAATCAATAAAATTATGAGCTAAATAATGTTGATGAGAAATACAGTAGTGGATAATGATTCACAGGGAGGAATCCATACCATCTGAAAGACTCTATTCCTTTCTTGCAACTGGTTTTGCACATGGACTACCAATACAGTCTTTAGGATAAGAATGTGTGAGTACGACTGTGAAAAAAAAAAAAATCATGAAAAGTCATGAAGTATGTTTGTTTTACCTAAAAAAATAAAATTTTCCTTAGAATATGATGAAAATTTATACTGAACTTTTATCTGTCAATCTAGGTTTTCTTGTTCTGTTCGATTTATTACATTTACATTTTTTTTATAAATTCAAAAATGTTTCATTCAGCTGCTCAGACCCAAGCAGTATAACTAATTATATTTGTATATTTAACATAATATTGCAGCAAACAGTACCAACAAAAGCAATATTATGATATGATACGAAATTTTGCAGTTCAGAGTACTTTTACCTGGATACTAATCCTATGAACATAAAGAGCTATAATGCAATATCCTTGACAAGTAGCAATTTATTTATATAGCTCATATATGCCTAATAATACAGCAATTTGTTTTACAATTTGCAGCAAACATTCTCAAATTGCAGTTGGGTTTTGTCATGAGCTCTCCAGTTACGTGGAACTCAGTATAGTATATCAAAAACTTTGCCCTGAAATAAGTCATCTAAATTTGGACTAAGAAGATTTATTACACAGCATTGTTTTTCAAACTGCTTCTTGGGGTGATACCTGGGTTGAAGCTTATAAACACAAGCGAGTAGGAGATGGGGGTCCTGAAAAGTATCCTGCAGAACAAAAAATATGAGATTTATTACATGCTGTTTAGGAAAGATAGATAGAACAATGAAATTTTAGTAATACAATAGGCATAAAAGTAAAATTTCGGTACAGAAATTATTTAGCTAATGGCTTTTCTCAGCATAAAAAGTTCACAATTAAAAACGGGAAACCATAATTTGTGAACAAGATGATACATTCTTTGCAATGCACAGTAGTATGGATATGCATTGTAAATAGCTCATCTTGACATTCAGTTAAAATCAATGGACTCTCGAAAAGGCATCTTGCTTATCATAGGTAGAACCTTCTATGCTTAGATTAGTTGGTTAAATGAAATAACAGGCAGTGAGTGCAGTTAGGAGAGTTGATCCACCTGAAATAATTACCTCCACACTAAATGGGGAGAAAGAAGTTCTGAAGATCCACCAATTTGCCTAAGGTAAGCATCTCTCTGTCTTTCACTCTCCTCCCACCAAATATGTGGGGTACTTACATATCGCAACATGCCAGTCCACCTAATAAATTAACGATGTATCCCCTAGCAAGAAAGTCCTTTAGTTAGGAGAAAACAATTACCTTTCAATGCTAACTTTACCCAGAAAACTAACTGATAGCTTCTACCTCCTGACCACAGAAAACCAGGTATCTTTAGAAATATTCTTTAACAAGTACACCAGAGTGAAATCACTGCACAATCAGAAAGTCTTGGAACCAGACCATGCAGCAGCCAGCCTCTGTCCTTCCCAACTGACATTTCTATTTATTCATGAAGAAGATATAAAATGAATTGAAGTTCTTTAGCTGCCTAAAGTATAAGCTCCAGGCTATGTGGAGCTGGAGTAGGATTTTAAGCGTGAGTCACAGTTTTGGCCGGATTGTTCAATGTATAAATATGACTTCTGGTGTACAAATGCTAAACCAAAAATTATTTCATTTATGAAAGCTTTGGTTTCCATATTCATCATTATCACAAAAGACTGAAGCAGTAGAAAGTTGAAATTATTGTCAGGAATAAAAAAAAAATAAGTCATATTACTGAGGTAAAGGTATCAAGGGAACCTACATATCATGCATTTTGTTCATTGGTCAAGCACCCGTCCTTGTGGTGTCTGCCAGTGGACTTGACTGTGCTGTCAGCCCTAATCTGGAGAAATCACTTCTGAGGGTGTGAGCCCTACACAGTAGAGAACTAAATCGGCCAATCTGGAAAAGATTAAGAGGAATCCTCTGTAACCCACATTAAAAATATGAAATAAATCTGTGTCATCCACAATAAAGATTAAATAGTACCATGGTAAAATTGTAGTACATTTACCAAATCTCAAACAGCAAATCACTATTTCAGTGTGTCATTCTATCTTCTCCCCCTCTTTGGACAATGGGACAAGGCATTGCCCATTAACATTCAATCTGAATTTACACAGATTAGGAAAATACTAAGGGTAGAAGCCAATACTTGCATGACTCAATTAAATTTCTTTGTTTTCATCATCTCTAATGGAAAGTATTTATCAGTATAGGTAGAATTACTTTAAAAGGAAAACTGGCAGGAAATTACGCTAACTTTGAGTCCTGACTTTAGATATTATTTTGTGGAGTAGAGAAGCTTTGGTTTACTGCCCTGGACACCCAAGATTCAGAAGCTGACTGCTGACAAGGCTAAGGAGTTTTTTAAGAAAAAATATGCTTATAAAATTTCCCAATTTTTTGTGCATTTTCTGTCAAAAGTGTGACTCACAGAGCTCCTAATTTAGTCATTTAACCTGAAAGAGAAGGTGGAAAAATAAAAAACATATATTCTTCCCAAGTTAAATGTCTATTAGAGACAAACTAGTAATTCTAAAAGCCTAAAGAGATTTATCCATTGTCTAAATTAGTTGAATATGTAATACCAAATAAACTTTTTATTCTCATAGTAATGCTGCTCCAGATCTCTCAATTTCAAATATATCTAAATTTAAATTGAAAATTACATTAGTTATGACTGTGGACTTAGTAACTGAGAAAAAAAAACTGATTCAGAGTCAGATATAAATTAATTTATGTTCATGGAAAATGGCAGAAGTGATTCAACCAGGGTGGAAGCCTCAACTGGTTTCCTTGGCATAAAAAAAAAAATCAAAACAAATTGAGGCAAATTATCCAATTTGTAGAGAGACTTAGATTAAGGACACGTGATGTATGGCAGCTGAAATTAAATGCCAAGGGTCAATAATGCTCCATCCCTGGCAGCATTTAAGGCCGGGTTGGACAGGGCCTTTTGTGAGGTCTATTGTGAGGTGTCTTTGCCCATGGCAGGGGGGTTGGAACTAGATAATAAAATCCTTTCCAACCCTCACCATTCTATGATTCTATGAGTAAAAATGTTCAAGTTCAAAAAAATTCATTTGTAGCTCTGGAATCAGACTGCTCTTAACCTAGATGTGTGGAAAACCTGTCTATGTGAGGTTTGAAAGCTCTGGGCTTTTTCTGTTGTTAAAAATATTACTTAAAAGAAAGATAAGCCCTACTTCTGAGAAGTTATCCTGGCCTATTCTATTATGAATATAGGACCCTAAAAGGGTTGGACTTTGGGGCTTTTTTGTAGCACTGACCTAAATGTTGCCCAAGTTGCGTTAAGACATATTACAGTGCCCAGGTTTTGTTCTGGGGACGTAGCCTGGTATCAGGGGTCAAAGTAGTAAATCTTCTCTTTGTCTGTTCTCATTGTGTGAACAGTGAAGAGCTAATTGACGAAAATTCTGCCATACTGACTTCCCACAAAATTCTGTGCTTGTGTAACAAGTAAGAATATACGTGTTTGTCTAACAATTCAGTTTGTGCCAGCAGGCAAACTCACTAATTTAGAATTTTCAGCATTTTAAGTCTGTTTGAACTGTTGACCCCTGGAGCATTGTGTGATGTCTAAAGTTAACATAAAGTCTAAGGTTTTCTTATGGGTGACTGCAAAGTATTCTAAAATAGCCATGCCATTCAAAAGTAATATTAGGAGTCTCTGTACTTTTGACAAAAAGGGCAGCATTATACAGCAGCACTTTATACCAATAAATCTGCAGATCTCTAAAACTGATTTCAGAGACCTAATTTTACAGACTTTGCAAATAATATGTGAGACATATAGGCACTGCTTTGGGTTACCAGCAGTCCACAAATTAAGATTTTTGTCTATTTCTTTGCATCACGGTTCAATCTTTTAGTGATTCCTTGTGAAAGATTCACAAATATTTCTACATTACCTGAAACTCTGGAAATATTACATTTGCTCTTGTCTGAAACATAATCTGTGATGTTTCTGCTCAGAGAAGACTTTCTGCAACTAAAGGGTTGAACAGGAGCTGGAAAAGACTAGATTTGAAGGAAAACTCAAAATACCTAAAACTGAAACAGGATTCTGGTCAGAAGTCAGAAGCATATGGGGAATTTTTAAAGAAATTATAAATTAAAAAGCTAATTATATATTCTTACTATTAAAAATATTTATTGAATCATATCTATTTATTTATTCCAGCACATCTATTTAAATCTTACATTTCTTTATGTTTTAAAGCTATACCCTTCAAGGCAGAAATTTATTTTGAAAAAGGCACCATTTGACATATCAATTTTTTTCAAAGTAGTACAAAACTTCATTTTGGAGACTGGATTTTTTTTTCCCTACCCCTTCTTTTGCTTTGCTTTTTCTTTTGGCATAATGTCAAATATCATCTCTACACTAACAGCTGATAGTTCTGTCTCTCCTCTCTTAATTTCCTTGTGTTCTATCCATATTTTTTTTTCCTTGTTTCTCTGCTGTTTCCTTGCTGTTGACTTTGTTGCAGCTGTCTTAGCATGGCTAAATCAGAGCTCTTCTATCTTCCTTTCAAATTTTGCATGTTTATTTTTGCATTTCACACAGATCTTTCTGTGAGTATTACAACAATCTTGCTTGTCTGTTAGGCACATCCATAACCAGGGTTGCTTCGGATCTCACTCTTTTCTCATCTATGTGTAATACTGGAGATTTCCCTCTCTAAAGTTCAGCATTCCTTTCCACCTAATACAGTCAGTTTGCACATCAGTAGAGGTGTCAGTGAATGCAGCTGTACTCATCTTTGGCATCGATACACATCATCTTGTGTCACTCTTTACTAGCCAGTGTTATTCTCAAGAATTTTAGTAAAAAATGCTGGGGGTGGCAACATATTTCAAGAAGCAAAATCTAAGATGGGCTATTTCTGGTACTGACTCACACACACTGCCTGCAGAATGGTTTTAGGACAAGACTGCTTTACTCACTAGCACTAAAAAGCAATATCTAAACCTGTTCTGTTCTCAATTTACATTTATTATGCTGATAGAATATTAAAAAAAAAATCAATACAAAAACAAATAGAAATCTGTAACATGTATTACCCAAATGGATGCCGTTTCTAATACATGAGCTGCTATAAGAACAATAAGCATTGCATAATGCATTCTTGTTGAATCTGAAGGCGTTATAAGGTTTTACACAAATACATAAAAAGAGAGCAACCAAAAATTAGCAGATTTTAATTTTCAGATAAAATTAGGGTTGAAGCTTTCTCCAAAGGAAAAAGTAACTAAGGAAGTGTGTCCTGGGTTCAGCAGTTGCAGCCATTTTTCGCCTTCTTAGTAGCTGCTGCAGCGCTGTGGTTTTGACTTTCGGCCTGGGAACAGTGCTGATAACACCAATGTTTTTACTTACTGCTCAAATGTTTGGTCTGGCCAAGGGCTTTGAGAGTCTCATGATCTGCCAGGGAGGAGGGGAAGCTGCGAGGAAGCAGAGACAGGACACCTGACCCAAACCGGCCAAATAGGTATTCCATACCACAGCACGTCATGTCCAGGATGTAACTGAGTTACCCGAAATGGCCAGTGCACTGCGGGGTTGGACGAGGTATGGGTCGGTGCTCGGTCGGGGCGGGGGGTTGGGTGAGGGCGAGTTATCGGTCGGCAGGTGGTGAGGTGTTGTATTCTCTTCCCTTGTTATTTCTTTTATCATTATTATTATTGATGGTAGCAGCAGTTTCATTCTTTTTGATTCTCCTCTCCGTCCCTCCGGGAGTAGGGGGAGGGAGGAAGGGGGGGGGAGTGAGCGAACAAGCTGTGTGGCTGGGTTTAAACCACTAGAAGATGTAACTAAGGATCATGGATAACTGTAGGAAAAGACAACTGAAAGACATTATTTAAGACATTATTTAGACCTGTGTAATCCTGTTCCAGCTTAACTGAAATCAGGAATGCATCATGTCCATTGATCTGTGCTTGATGTTCTGCAAAGACACTAAGATTTTATGCAAAATGATAACCTCTTAGGTTTGAAGTTTTGTACCTAAGTATTGACTTTCTGTATGTGGGTAAAATGGGTATCTGTTTGTCTCAATGAAATAGCTACTTCTGAAATTCCAAATGTATGGTGTACAGGGGGAGAAATATATCACTCATTTCTGTCTGAACTATCCCATGTTGGCTTAGGTTGGGCAGCAGTCTAATTAAAAGAGCAATCCTTTTCAGGCAAAACTGTTCTCCTGTAAAACAAGTGAGATTCTTTGTAATGGAAAACCCCTGAATTTTGTGGTGGTGGTAAAAAAAGGTTTGGCTTTGAATGCCACATATTTGCATGCTTGACACAAGACGGGCAATACACCTTGCAGGTTCAAGATGCAAAACAAGCACTTTGGTGCACTCTAGTACCTTCTTAAATTATTTCAGGTGCTTTGAACTGTTTGAAAAAACACATTTTGCAGCAGTTCTTCTGCAAATCATTTAGATGGAAATCAGATATAAAATCAAAAATAAAAGGTACCAGTTATGTGGGTTTATTCTGTCCATATGGTTAATTTTTTTGTCTATTGTTTGTTTTGAAAACAAAATAGATCATATCTACACTGCATATATTCAGTCAAATCTTGTCATACACTCTCCAGTTCACACTGTTCCCAGCCTCTGCATTTCAAGTTTGTGATTGTTGCTGCCATAGAAGGATTTTTATCAGAGGGAATGTAGTTTTTATACAAAATGCAGAATTTTTATTGCTTTTATCTAGAGGCTTATAGCAAGAGCTCAGTGTCTTTTAAGAGATTGAAATGTGAAGTGAAAACGTTCAATCTTTTATGCTATGTATTTATGTGACCAGCTTATCCAGAACTCTTAACGTAACTATCAGCACAACTGAAAGTCTTTCCTTCTAGGTTCATGTTTCTCCATGTGTAGCAGCTGTAAACCACAAGTGAAGTTTCTAATGTTGGACAAGGTGTAGCCATTAGTTCCGCTAAAAAGCTCTAACCACCAGTGCTCATTGATTTCTAGTTTCATATATCTTTAATGAGGAGATTAAATACTTGTTTAGGAAGCAGAGCCTGGCTTAAGTGGTGTTTGGTCATATAGCATGTACAGTTAAAGACCTCCCTAATATTTCCCTTTAGTAATAGAAGTGAAAAACCCTTTATTGCCCCAAATATAAGCCATTTAGCTGATTCTGCAGCAGCATGAGATACTTAACTATGGAAAAAAAAAACATTAGAGGTGGAATGCTGCAGAAAAAATGCCCTTTCTAATTGATAATAGACTTTTTTTTCCCCTTGTTCTTTGAATTCTTCATGAACACCTGGGAGTATGCTAAATTCCCACTTCAACAAAATAAACTTAAAAAAAAAAAGAGGACATAAGAAATCTCAGCTAAGTTTAATTTTCTGATAATACATTAAAAAGAAGAAAATTTTTGTCCCAGGAGAGTTCAGTCCAGTTCAAGAAATGTGGAGAACCTAGTTCACTGAGAACTTAGCATGAGGATGATAGTGAAAAGTGGGACAGATGTGGCAGTAGCAAATACTTCTGGAATAAGTGCTAAATGGCAAGACTGTGGAAAAGTATAGAATCTCACTGTGTGTGGAAGAAGCAATGAAAATATCTAGAATCCGCTAAGTATTCATGGACAAAAGAAGTAGAGCTGCTCTCACAGTTGATTTTCCTCACTAAATTCATGTAAATTCCTTTGCTTAGGGTATCAAAAAGCTTCAGTAGGACTGTAATCAGATAGATATAGATGATGTAGATACAGATATATAGATGTTGTCTGGGACAAGAAGTCGGATGTTAAAGAGCAAGGAGATTTCAGGGACATGTGTTTCCCCTATCTCGAGTTCAATTGGCTTCTCATAAATGAAATTATGAAACAGCAAAATTAAGTGTATAATGGAAAAAGGTACTAGTTAAGACAGGTAGCCTAGAGATTTTTGCAGAATCCCTGGGCTTTCAAAGTATCTTGCTACCCATGCAAATTTCAAGAAATCACCTGCTAATGGATGCCAGTCTACTGCTTCTTCCATGACAGGATGAAATTTCTGTATTTCCCATTCAAGTAGAATATATAAAAAGTGTCCATAGGTCCGCATTTTATGTGCTGATTTGGGGGCTGAATTGGATCGTATAGAACTGCGAATTAGAGCAAAAACCGCTCCTCATTTTCTTTAAACACATGAAGTCAGAAAATATTGACTGTGATGTAATTGAAAATGCTATTTTCCAAGGTTTGTTCTTTTTTTAATACATAGAGTTCCCACTCGGGCTGCTGAATTTGAGAGATATGAAGAGGGAGGGAACATTTAGAATGCACACTTGGTAGCTGAAACACAGATTGTTAAACTGTCTCAGAATGCCTTTTCCACTAACAAACAAGAATATTTAATAACTTCTTTTTCTAAGGCTGATATTGGAATGAAAGGATTTTGGTTTACAGTATAAAGTTTAAAAGATCATTTCCTTGAGGTGGATTCTGGGGCTTTTTAGTTTGTGTAAAATGATTTAAAAGGGAGAAAAATATCAAGCACAAAGAAAAGTCAAGTGAATTTCCCTTTTCCTGTATAACGCGCTTAAATGCTTAGAAAAAAGCAAGACAATTCTGTGTGCCCAGTGCTCATGGTTTCTCACCTAAAATGCATGTATAACTTTTGTAATGTGTAAAATCTGTAACTCAGACAAAAAAAAATTATAAATCACTATTTGAAGTATGGTCTGCTTACGGAAGGAATAAGCTTTTCAGATTTAAACTTGTAACATTTCTCAGAAGTCAAAAATCTATATATTCTAACAGCTGACTTTTTGTCACTAAATTCTTTTTTTTTTTTTGAAGAATTCCATAGAAGAAAATCCCAGAAAGATATTTGAAACAAGAAGATACAAGAATCTCAATATTCCTTTTGTCCGTATCATTTGCCCCATGTCCCAGCAATTTTCAAGTAGGATCAAGAGGTAGAAAATTGATAGGGGAGGGAATGAATCTTGGAAATCAGCATGCCACTAAATTGATACCATGTAAACACCATATAGTATTGGAAAACCACTGCTGGGGGTAAATGAAATGAATTCACTGGGGCATCTAATCCTATTTCTGGAACGCTTAAAGTGTTTAAATGCACTGGAAAGCAAACAAACTTCAAAGTGATCATTATACCCCTGACACTAGTACTTGTGTGGCTGAAATCTTTATGAGATTAACCCCCTACAGGGAAAGGAGTTGAACACGGTCAAAACCACTTTGAAACTGTCAGGAGGATACCAGTCTGAAAGCTCAGTGATAGTCAGAAATGCAGTTAAATGCTGAATATTAAAGGCCGTTCATTATTTCACCTTCAACTCACTACTATGCCTACAATGATATTCATGGACACAAAGTGAGTCACCTCCATGTCTACATTTTGTTTCTTGCTAATTTTGTAAATGCTGATCTAGCATCATTTCTTGCTAAGAGAGAAAGCTGGGTGACATAATCACAACTCACACTAAACACATACATGAGTTTTCTCCAGAGCAGTTCAACAGTTTTTGTGTGATGAAAAAGCTTAAAAACATACAGCCACCTCAGCTGAGAAGTAATCACTAAAACATTTAAAATCTTTCCACAACATTAGAATTGCAATTCTAACAACTTTCCCACTAAAGGCACAAATTGCAATATTGTGTGGATGGTATGTTTGTAGCATATATATGTAAACGCAAACATGCTCTAAAAAATCTACCAATGTTGTGAATAAAAGATTTGTTTGCACCTTGCAAAACAACCACAAACTAGTTTATTTTATACTGCAAATCATGCCTCACACATTTTTTCCAGCCTTTTAATGAACTGTGCTGTCAGTGATGTCCCTTCCCCTTTGAAGAGAGTGTTCTTTTTTGCTTTTCATTGTGAAATCTTATCGATATTTGCCACTCCAGCAAAAAGTTTTACATAAATGAACTGGTGTAGTGGAATGTTAGCCTATAATAAGAGTTTGTCACACAGCAGTCACACTGGAAGAGTTCTATCATTGATTTTTCAATAAATACAGCAAATGGCAAAAAATACAGCACACATTCCTCAGCAGTAAATATCTTGGTGACCATTTTTCTTCTTTGCTGTTTTCTGTTCTTTTGTCTTCTGGCAATACTTAATAAAATGTGATTTCTTTAAATATAACTTCTGCAGTGTAACAATCAGTTGGGAGCTGTATGGGAAGAGGATAATTACCAAGCTACTCTTATTGCAGGGTTGTTTGGTACTTTCATTCTTCAGCAAGGCAAAAAATAACAGATTGTCAATGATGTGAACTGAATGTAAAAACAGAAAAACAATTTTAACTACTTTAAAAAAGTAATGTAATAGTGAACAAGGACAGGAAAATTCGAACAGATTTATGCTGTTAGAGAAAACTGCATATATGTCTTTTTAAACATATAAATCTTTACTGATATACTTTAAAAATAGTTATACATTTGGGGTCTTATTTCCAGTTGCACTGACTGTTGGGAGTTTGGGGCCCTGATCCAAACCCCACTGAATCAATGGAAGATTTGTGTTTGCAGACAAAGATGCTAAGGCACCTCACAGAGCTGCAGATGTTGCTGCAGGCAGTCCCCAGTTCCAGCCCTCACTGCTTGGCTCCATAGGGTGCCTGCCCATTCCTGGCCTCTTAGTGTCTCCTACAGCCTTGAAGAGTTCATGAGCTTCAGAGATCTTCTCCCTCTCGTAAACTCATATTATCAATGGAAATTAAAGTTTCATAGGATGCCTCTGGCCCTGATCATTTCAAGGTGTAAATATTTTTGTAGACAAAGTGCATGGTGTGGCTATAGTAAAACTGTTTTGAAGTGAGAACTCCATCCCTGCAGCTTCTACTTTATAATCTTTATATACACACATAACCACCTGTGTACACACTACTGCTTGTGCACAGTACTCTATAGATCCTTAGCAATCAGGGAGCTGAAGCTTGTTTGAAGGCCTTCTAAAGTGGACAGGAAAACAATTCTTTCAAACCATATAATTCTGTAATTAGTGTGTATTATTAAAGGTCCCAGTGTATGCTATAGTGTAACGCTGCTTGCTATACAAAAATCTTGTTAGGTCATTTCCCTTTACGAGCAACACTTCTTTAAACTACACTTTAAATGTGCATGAAGTTTCAGTGCAAGCATTCATTACACAGGACTTGTTTTTCTATATGAAGAGGAAATATATTCTTTTAACAGGTTTGCTCCTCTGTGGCCTACTTGTTTAAGAGGTGTCCCATGACATTCATTTAGCTACAATGCTTCATCATAAAAATACATGAAAACGGAGCCTCTTATTTAAAACGAGGCCCTGGAGAGAGAAAACAAAACATGAGGGAACTACCATTAAGAGCACTTCTTATCACCATGGCACAAATAAACATTAAGGGTTGGCATCTCTTGGCAGACTTTGAAAATTAGGAGATGATTGATCAGAAGCATTGTGTGCTGTTTGCAGTTTCATTTCCTCAGCATTCTCTGTATCTTCCAATTCAGTTGTGCATCATTTGTTTATAATGATTAATTAAGATGACTAGTGGGTGACAGCTACAAAAAAAAACTAATTAATGAAACAGAAAGGATACAGTTCTTTCAAAATTTATGTAGTCACCTTTTCTCAGAAAACACTGAAATGCCCAGAATCTTACCTTCTCCTAATACAGTTGGCTCAGAGACTATTTAACCTCTTGAACCAATTTGGTCTACACAGTTAACATTATGGCAGTCTACACCAAGCACTGATTAATCTACTTTAACTACAAGCACTCTTCCATTGCTTTAAAGTTGGATACTTCTGTGGTATCTTACTGTATAATATGTTTTAGGTAAAGTCTATATCGATACCACTGATTTTGAAGCGATCCTTGCTGAAGTGGCTATCCCCAAAGGCTAACTTCAGCAGGCTCCCTCTAGTGTAAATCAGGAGAGATTATTTCCGTTAGAAGAAAGAGTGCAGGAGCTTAAATTTTAAATCATCTTCTAGAATAACCTGTCTGTCACCACTGACTGGAGGCTGAGGCTGAGGAGACTAGCAGCAGTATGGTGACTTGTGTCTGTATGCTCATTTTTGTACTTGTGAATACTGCTTCCTTGCTCCTGCCTCCAAAAAATGTAATTAAAAGAGTATGAAACACCATCTTTATGTAAACTGGCAAACCTACATACACTTATAGGATTCATAAGATAAGAACTTGGTGCTGACAGAAAGCTTCACAGTTCAAAATTTAGACTGCGCTACCACAATTGTGTGAATGAGGCTGGTATGATAAAAGATATTCTGAAAGGTCTCATATTTAAACTGAAAAAAGTTTCCCTAAATAACTTCAGCACTTCACTGGACTCCTCCCAAAATTCAATTTATTGACTTTTTTTCATAATCTTTTCAATCAACAAATCATTACTGAAGCAGCACTGCATAACAAATTGCACTAAGAAATACTACTTTAAATTTTGGTACTGATATTTGCATAAACTCATTCCAGAGATCCATAACAACATATACATTTCCATTTCAAAAAAATGGAAAGTGAAAGCATGAAAGAAGACTGTAAAAGCAAAATGTAGTGGTGCAAGAAAATTTAAATCTTGTACATCTTCATCTTCACACTCATAAAATGGTGTCTAGGAAAACAAAAGAATTAAGAAAACAAACAGGATAAATCCTCAACATTTTTGTAAGCAATAAAAAATGATTCATTGCCTGGGGGCATCCATTACTATTAGAATGGAAATTATGGGCAAGCCACCTGCCTGTTAAAGCAAACAAAAAATGCCAGCTTGTTCCAACTCATAGTTCTATACCTGGATGCAGAAGAAAAGAAAGATTGGCTTTAAATATCATGATAAGTGAAAAATTACGTCTTTCAAAAATTTGCACCTCAGTAGATGTCATGCTTCTTCTACCCTCTAGCTTATCTGGATAGAGGAGACTTGGAAGCAGACTTCAGTGCTGGATGATCGCTGTTCTTCAGCATAACATACTGTTAATCTCAGAAGCTTTTAATTAGAAGAACTGTGTTGCAAGACACATTTGTAACCCTGGTTACAAATGGGGGAGGGTGACAAATGGAAGAAAATGTTCTTCATTTCTTCTCCAGCTGTCCAGCACGGTATTCAAGTTGCCTGCTCCAGCATGCTACTAGGTAACCTGGTAGCTGGCTTCTGCTATTGTCATGCTTCACACATTAACCAAGTTGTCTTTGCTATGCTGTCAAGCTACCTGCAGGTTCAGTGTATAGCTGCTAATGCTGCACAGTTATTTCAAGAAGATTTGGCTCAAGTCCAGCAACCTATGGTAGGAAAACAAGGTATTAATCAACAGTACCTCTGGTCTGGTGTTCTGTTTCTGAAGCAGTCACAATCTTCAATTAACTCTAAAATTCCCTGGTGTCCATGGGCACCTCTTTCTCAAAATCTGCCATTATGTAGAATTCATTCTATGAAATCATTCTGAAACCCTTCCACTTCTGTATTATCTACTGTGTATATAAATTATTAATCCCACTAAGTTATTGAATTTGACAATTCCTTGTGAAAATGAGATTCATGGAGCTTAGCATTTCTCTAGGTTTAGAAAAAACTTTGACAAAACTTACTAAACGAGTAAGTTTAGGAAACAAAAACTCACATAACTTATATATGTAAGGTTTTTTCAAGTCTTTTGTTACTGGTATTATGTAATGTCTGGTATATTCTCTCCATTCTGTTCATTTCTATACATCTTCATTTTTACAGTTTTGTTGTAATTTGACAACAAGTTCCAAAATGTGTCATACGTTTTTACCTTTTAGGAGGGATAGTATTCAGACAAGGGTATTCAACATGAAGCTGTAGCACTGATTTATTTAATGGAGTATTTCAGATACAATTTTTTGTCTCTTTTTAAAGATAGTTCTTCACACATTGCTTGCTTTTTAAAATTCTACTACATATAGAATGTTTTCAATCAACTATTACAATGATTGCACAGAGCACTCACTGCTAATTCAGACACTCACTAACTGCAGTGCTTTTTACATTCATCAGAATGCTTTACATTCACATCACAACACTGAACTTCATCTACCATCATCTTACCTGTTGAACTTCTTTTCTATTGTACTTCACATTTTTCTGGTTTGACCCATCTAGATATTGTGTCAAATGAAAAATTTCCTGCCTCACTGACCAGCTCTTTCCACTTTCCTTAAGAAGTCATTTTAATATTTCAGCGTGCTTCAACTGTCCATTACTACTCTTAATACCATTTTTACGTATAGCTTTATTTCTCCACCTACTCATGCCTATGGGATTTTAGCATAAGAAATTTAAAATTCCAAGTAAACTCCTTTTTAACCCATTCTCTTTTGAGAAACAGTTTTTCTTCATGGAACTCTGCTTGTTTGTCCATACTCTAACAGTTCCTCTTTGCATTCGAAAATCTGGCGTTCACCTATTATTTTGTTTAGTTTTCCTGGTACTGAGAAAGGTGTTGATCTGTATTTCCCTGGATGATTCTTTTTTCAGTTACAGGAGAGAGAAAAAAAACACATCTGCTAACATCTAGTCTTCTGGCATAGTGGCCAGTTTAAATCAGAGACTGTATATTTATGTTAGCCACTCATTTATATGTGTTACGTTCAACCACTCAATCTTAAATTACTTTGGAATTCCTTCATGTACAGTATCCTGTTCTCATTACTTTTTTTTTCATCTATCAGCTTGTTCTAGCACATTCACTGTTGGAAATTAGAATCTCTGACAGGACTTAAACTTTTTAAAATAGAAAGGGTATTCTTAATGTACTCTATCCAAAAAGGTAATTTAGAGTTTTCAGTACTTTGATCCTCCTTAAATGGATCTTTTCTTCACTTGGCAGACCACCAACTCATACTTTTAAGTTTGTTGGGGTTTGTGCAGGTATTATTTAGGAAATAAAGAATCTACATAGAATATATAAATGACTCCCCGGTTTACATCTATATTCAAACCTTTATTTTGATACAGTTATGTTACTGTTATTCTTAGGAAGTTCCTGCTTCTAGGGAAAGCATTATTTACTTTTAAGTGGTTTATGTTAAGAAAGTGAAACAAACAATTAACCTAAATATCAGTCTGGGCTTCCAAAAGAAAATTAGCTTGTGTGTTGCAATCCCTAAAGTTCAGTATCCTTTTAATTTTCCAACTGCAATGAATCATATCTTAAAAAAACAAATGCTTGCCCTAGCAGGATGATCTATTTTAGACATGTGTCCTTGGACAAAAAACAACCTCTGGGTTTGTGTAGACACAGCATGGTTTTCTTTTACCCAAAGGAACTGCAGAAACTCAGTTTGTGCTTGTGTTTTGGGGCAAAAGGGAGGAAAGCCAGCGTGAAAACGGTGTGAGTTATGTTCAAAACCGTTGCTCACAGCAGGGAAAAAACAACTTCTTTTTTTCCAGTTTCTGGTGACTGGCCATATGTGCAGATCATAGCACTGTGTTGCAAATCCAAAACTGCACATTCAACATGGCCTCTTTATGATGTTGCTGGTTTCCAAAAACCAAGTCAAATTACAAAAAATTACCAGGTACTGGAGGCCTGTAAACTACAGCTTGACATGGAAATGCTGGCTGTATTACACAACACACTATAACTTCCACCCAGTTGATATTCTCTAGTCATAGGTCTAGTGCTAGTTTGCAGCATCAGAAAGATTCAGGAGTTCAGAAGTGTCACTGAGCAGTGCTTAGTTTTTAAATTGTACAGGAAAATGCTTTACAGTGCTTTTACCTCCACATTTTGTTATTGTGGCCTTAGATACAAACCAGCAATTTTGCCTGCTTTGCATCTCCACTGTTTACCACATAAACTAGAAAACTCACTCATCACTTCCAGGACAGGTGACAAGGGAGACCAAAGACTGAAAAAGGTTTATTAATATTTGTTTTTAGAGAGATGTTGTTGGGATTAACTTCTGCCTTCCAATTAAAACAGGATTAAAAGGATTATCTTGAATAATAGAAGCATACAGCACATTATAAATACTTTGCTTCATTTAATTAATAGGTTTGAATATGAACATAAGATACATCAAATTATTCCAGAATAGCCTATAATTGCATTATTTTTAAATAATAGAAAAGAAACTCATGAGTCATTAATAAGGAGATGACTTTGGAAAAAGGCAAACTCCTTCAGCAAATATAATGTTTTCAAGACATATTCTATTTATATGTATAGTTAATAACATCTATTATGCAGTCTTCAACTTAGAAGCCTGTGTTTGTTGAGAAAAGTACTTTAAAACAGAGATGTAATTACATGGTGTGAGAGTTCTTCTGGCAACATTA